CTCCTCGCCCACCTCCTCCCGGTAATACTCGGCGTCGTCCTCATCCGACTGCTCGGCCGCGTCCGGCTGCTCCGGCACACCCGGGTCCTCAGCGTCACTGTCACCGTCCTGCTGCCGTTTCCTCCGGATCCCCACGAGGCTCTTCTCCCTGTGGTGCCGCCGTGGGGTGAGCTGCTGCCCGAGCCTGGTGCTGCCCGAGCCCAGTGCTGCCCTCACCTGTGAGCCTCACGCTGCCGCCGCTTGCGCTCCACGTCCGCCTCCTGCTTCTGCCGCCGCTCCGCCTTCAGCCGCAGCTTCGCCTCCTTCCGCGCCAGGATCTCCTTCACCTCCACCTCCGTTTTGTGGACTTAAAAAAAAAAATAAAAATAAAACCACCCGGAGAAGGGGGTGAGACGCCCCAAATCGAGCCCCCAACCTGGCAGCTTACCGGGAACGGCCAGCCCAGCCATTTGTGGCACTTACTGAAGCCGTGGTAGAGCACGTTGCCCTGCGCCAGGCCCTCCTCCACCTTGATGAGCTGCAGAGTCATGCGGGGTCCGATCTGCAGGAACAGGGGGGATGTGCAGAGCCCCCTGTCAGGCTCGATGGCACCCCCAGGGCGATGGTGACCGCGGTGTCACCGCCGTCACGGACCTCAGTGAGGCGCACGGCGCTCTGCTGTGCCTTCATGTTGCCTCGGCCGGCATAGGCCTGCGGCAGCTCCAGGATGTTCTGGGTCCCGTCTTGCTCAGCCTCGCTCTCCGAGAGGTTTATGTCCCTGCCGGGGCAAGAGGAGGGCGTTTCGGGAGGGGCTGGAAGGCGCCTCGGGGAGCCTCATCCCCCCCTTGGTGCCCCCCACACACTTCACCAGCAGCTCACTGATGTCTTCCAGGCGGCTCATGTTGGGGAACTTCTCCTGCAGCAGCCGCTTCAGGCCTTTGCTCACACCCACAGGCACAACCTTCACACTGCTGCGAGGAGGAGAAGGAAGAGGTCAGCGCTGGGACAGAGTGTAGGGACGCCACCCCCAGATCAAGGGTGTGACACTTACTAATGCCTGAAATCGAGGAGCTGCGTCTCTGTGTTGTAGGTGATGAGCAAGCACCTCTTGATGCTGTTGAGGTTGACCTGTGGGAGGAGGAGATGGGGAAAGAGAAGGAAACAGAGGAGTAGGAGAAAGGAGGAGAAAAGGAGAGAGATTTCAGTTGGAAAGGACATGCAGTGCCCGTCTAGTCCAAGCAGCTGAGCAGTGCGGGGCTGCCCAGAAGTTCAAGGGTGGTACTGAGGGCACTAAGGTCCAGGTGTCCATCTGCCTCCAACCCCGATGGGCTCAGGGCAGCTGCCCCCTCCCCAGGAAGCCCATCCCAGGGTTCAACCACCCTCCTGGGACAGAAACGCTCCTCGTGTGCAGCCTGAGCCTCCCCCGGCACAGCTCTGACCCCCTCCTGCCTGTCCTGGCACAGACCTGCTGGAGTGGAGGCTGTCCCTGCTCGCGGGGGGTGCAACCAGATGATTTTTAAGGTCCCTCCCCACCCAAACCGTCCTCTGATTCCATGAGAAGAGCTCAGCACCAACTCCTGAGCCTGCTGCCCCCAGCTCCCTTTCTCCATCCTTTCTGCTCCCAATTTACGCTTGCCGCCCGGTGTCTCCCCAGCCCAGGTGCAGAATCCAGCAATTAGACTAATTAAATTTCATCCCGTTAATCATCGCCTAACGCTTTGATCTACCCCAATCCCTCCACAAGGCCTCTCGTCCCTTAAGAGCCTCAACACCTCCTCCCAGTTTGGTGTTCAACGCCTGCGGCCGCGTCGCTGATAAATATATTGGATAGAACCAGCCCTAAAATTGAACCCTGAGGAACAAGAGGCAGCAGGATGGGGGCTGAGCGCCCCCCTGCCCAACAATGCGGGGACAGAACCCCCTCTCCCAGCTCACCCTGTGGACGTTGATGGAGGGAAACATGTTCTGGAACATACTGGCCATCAGCTTGATGTGGATCTGCTGGAGACCGAAATTGCTGAGGACCAGCAGTGGGTGGTGGGTGAACTGCTGCTCGTGCATGCGGTGCCGCTTGAGGGATGAGACCACGTCCTTGATCAGCGAGTACTGGAGGGGGACACACACACAAACACACAGAGAGGATGAGGAGGGGGCAAGACACTGCTCCTTGTGCTGAGGGCTGGGGCGGGGGCTCCTGCCAGCACCCACCTGCATCACCTTGAATGTCAGCGTCGGGCCACCGGGCAGCCGGAAAAGCTTCTGGAGGGAGGAGGGGGGAGAAATGGTGCTCAGCAGCTGGAGGGGGGACACTTCTAGTGATGCTGCTCCCCCCTCCCCAGCACAGACACATCAGTGCGTTTACTTTGGATAGAATCACAGCGTGAACTCAACAGGGTTTTGTCATCATCTGCGTCTGCCAGGGGAGTGGGAACCCCCCAAAAAACCACCAGCCCACCACACGAGGCGATGAGGGGGAGCGCAGCCGGCATGGAGGGCCCCCCCAGCACCCCAAAAGCCGTGGAGGTGGTGGGATCTCGCTACTCACAAAATTGATGCTGGAGGTCGATTTACTGAAGACCAAGAAATGCGTCACCCCCAGGGGCCCGGCCACTGCCACAAAATCCTTCAGCGAGTTGTTTTTCCGCACCTGCAGCACAACGCGGCCAAACCCTTGAGC